GAGATGAGGTATTCAACCACTCATTTGTTCCAGTAACAAACTCATAGAATTTCTGAGTTGGACAGGACCACAGGGGCCAGCTAGTCTACACTGTATTGGAACAGGAATTCTCTGAAACATCTCTGACAAGTGGTCATTCAGCCTGCCCTTGAACATCTCCAGCGACCAGGAACCCATTGCAGCCTATGCTGCCTCATTAATAGCAAGCTTTTCTTTACTTTGAACCAAATGTGCCTCAGCAACTTTGACCTATTGCTTCTAATTTTGCCCTCTGAAGCCAAGAGAGGACTCCTATATGACTGCCTGTTAACTAGAGGGGTCTCCTCTTCTGTATGACTGTGTTAAATACTTGAGAGGTGACTAGGTGGTGCAGTGAATAGAACATTGGGCCTGAAGTCAGGAAGACTAATTTTCCTGAGTTCAAATACAGCCTCAGACACTTTACTAGCTGTGTGACCCTAAGCAAGTCATTTAACCCTGTTTGCCTCAGTTTCCTCAACAAAGAATTGGGCACAATTAGAAAGCAACTGAACAACAAATAATTGAAGGCAGATATGATTCAGTTCAATATATGTTTATTACATGCCTCCTATGTACAAAGCATTGGGTTAGGCAGTGGCAATACATGAAGAGCAATCTGAGAGAAGGTTTTTGAGGACATAAGAATGCCATTTTTTTTTTTTAAAATCATCTTGTACAACCTCCTGGGTAGGCAATGAAAAATGGCCCTCTTGAGATCATTGCAATGAAGAAAACATCTCCTTTACCTCTACTTGGAAGGTGAGACTATGATGTACCAGAAAACATACTGGGTCTGGAGTCAGAAAACCTGGGTTTGGATTCTGAGTCTGTGCTTTGTGATGTGTGAATCTTGGTTTACTCGTTTTGCCACTCTGACCCACTTTTGTCAAATGATGTGGTTGACTAAATGAAGGCCCTGAGCTCTCTTCTAGAACTAATAATCTACAAATAAGGAGTTGTTTGCCACTGGTTTCATTTCAGGGACATTGTTGTTACAAAGTCTCATTAATTTATACTTGAGTCATTTTTAAAATTGTCAGCATTGACACTCTTTGGAATAAAACTTACCCTTTAGAAATCATAAGCTGATACTAGTTACTCTCCATGGAAAACTAGTTTTGATGTAATACATGCATATATAATTTAAGCCACACTTGCAAATAAGTCTGTTGTCTATGTCAAAGTAGTTTTATTCATGCCATATGAGAATGAATTTCTATAAAGAATGCTGATTTTGTGTGTTTGGCTCCTCGAGATCTCTTGGGATGGGGGGGGAGCAAAAACAAAACAAAGCAAAATGTGTTTAGGGACCAGCAAATGTTAGCAACAAGTGAACTTTCTATGAGGCCATTCTAAAATTCCATTGAAAAGAAAGCAAAATATCTGTTGTCATCAATTTTGCCCTTTTGGCTATCAGAGCTAGAAACTCAATAAATTCGGCTAAATATTCAAGCTGCTGATTTTGTTTTGCTTTCATGTGAAATGTTATGACATCTGCAATTTCCCAGTATGAGCAGTTATTGTTCTCTAGTATCAGCATCTAATTATGGAGACAGAAATTGTAGCTGTGTCCAGTCTTCTTTTTCCTTCTCTCCTGAGTGCTTCAGTCTTCTTTCTGTTCAGCACCATCTCTTACCAGAGGGCTTGCCTCATGTTTCTGTTATAGCCAGCACCAATCATATTGATTGGTACTATGATGCTCAAAATAAAAAACTTGCCAGGTAGAATACATGTAAGGTGTCATGAAGTCTGGCTCTTTGTCTGTCAGTCTCATCTAAGATGGGTAAAAGCTGGGTGACACAATAGATATAGTGCTGGGCCTGGAGTCAAAAAGACCTGACTTCAAATCCAGCATCAAATACCTTCTAGTTGTGTGCACCTGGACAAATCACTTAACTTCAGTGTGCCTCAGTTTCTTCATCGGAAAAATGGACACAGTAATAGCATCTACCTCCCAGGGTTGTGCCACTCTAACCCACTTTTGTCAAATGAAATGGTTGACTTAATGAAGTCTCTGAGGTCTTTTCTTGACTTAATAAAGGTATGACTTAATAAAGTGACAATATAAATAAATAAAATGACATAATAAAGTGCTTAGCACAGCACTTGGCAAATAGTAAGCACTATTTAAATGTTAGCTGTTATTAAGAGGACTTGGATGAAGAGTAGATATTCTTATTTTGCCAAGTATTTTGGTGCCACAAAGTGGCAAAGTGTTTTGAAATGATTTTTTATATTTCAATTGCCTCTCTAAGGACAGGAAGAGTTCTCCAGTAAGAGTTTCTTTTATTGAAGTCAAGTCAGCAAGCATTTAATAAGTACCTACTAAGTGACAGGCACTGTGCTAAGTTCTGGGGACATGAAGAAAGACAAAAACAGTCACTACAACCAAAGTTATTACAGGCTAATAGGAAAGATGACACACAAACAACTATGTACCACAAAAACAGGGAGGCACTAGAGTGTCTTTAGGTACATTCATCATTCAAGAAGATGTTTGTGATCACACCAGCTACACCATTTTTGGTTTATAGAATGATGTTCTATCCTGCATTATAGAATATCTTTGGAATGGACCACCATGGATGAAAATGAAAATCAGAAAAGATCTTCTCTTTGATTCTTAATTTTTTTTTTTGCTTATCCATGTTGCATAAAGCCTGCTTACTATTACTAGTCATCAGTAGCCATTTCTCATACTAACATTCTAAATGTAAATGATTAAGATTGTGTGTCTCTGTGTGTGTGTGTGTGTGTGTGTGTGTGTGTGTGTGTGTGTGAGTCATCTTTTTTAATTAGGGGAAGCACCACACTGTAAGAGAGCTGGTCTCAGAGCTAAGAAGGATTGTATTCAAGTTCTGACAATGATACATAGTGGCTGTGTGGCTTAGGGTAAGTCAATTTCAGTACTGTAGGAAAGTCTCAAAGAATGTAATCTGCTAAACTCCATTAGCATTTCCTCATTGGGGAATTCCCTATACCAATGAGATCACAGATCTAGTCCCAGCTTCTATTTTTAGTTCAAACAGTTGTCTATTGAGTATTAGTCAAGTTTTGATTTTGGACAAAACTTTAGATTCTTGGGGTGGGGGTGGGGGTGGGGGACAAATTAGCCTAGCACAAAATTGCTGGTAAAAGCCAAAAGGGGAAACACCAGGAAAAAAAATCAAATACTATTTGGGTCCTGAAAGGAATGATTGATATCCAGAGAGGTGAAATCAGAATTTAAAATAAATAATCTGGATGCTATTTAAAAGGCAAGCTGTTGATTTTATCACTCCCTATTGCCAAGACACACATCGATTCCCATTAAATTAGACATTTTTACTCTGATCAGGTTAGTGGCAGCTTTAAAACGTCTACAGCATCCCAGGACAAAGTAACAAATCAACACCTGGAAAGGCTGTGAAACTCTATCTACCCATCTCTCTTTTCCTTTTCGTAGAGCCTTTCCCTAGTGGCAACTCAGTAGCTTCTCAGTACAGGAGAAGTTATGACCCTCCTCTTCTTGTGGTTAATGGCAGCCTGTCTGTTTTCCACACCTCCCTTTTCTCTCCCTCTGGGAATCCAGGGCTGAAGGATAACAAAACCCAACAGGCTTCCTAATTATTATACAAGCTCATACTAAAATGTGGCTCCCCTCTCTGCCCACCAAATTTCTCATATTGCGACCACATTTTAGATCCAAAGTTTTCTGACACATCTATTTCTTTCTTTTTTCCTTCCTTGCTTTCTCTTTCTTCTTTCCTTCCTTCTTTTTTTTTTTTTGAGAAATCCTTTCCACTACCATGGTTTCCTCAAAAAAGAAGAGTTTAAAAAGAATTTAGTTGGGATAGTTGCTTTAAGCACTTTTATTTATATAATACTATTGCTAAAATTAACTTCTCTTCATTCAGTCCTGCACTCCTAGTTATTTATTTGGATTTGGTATTTCTTAGATCTTTATAACTATATCTAATCTATTTATGCCTATATGGATCTATCTAGGTATCTAACTACTTAGCTATCAATGGCTTTGTTTACCCAGCAGAAAGTAAATCAGACATTTGAAGGCAAATGTTCAGTTTATTTCAAATCCATAGATGACTACACTGGAAAAATCATGCAAATTAGGTATCTGAATTGTCTAAATTACCAAAACATGCCTTCATTTTATCTTGTCACAATTCTGATGAAGATTTCATTTGAGCTCAATCTTTTACAATCTTTCATTATCTCAAAAGTGGTTCATGCCCTCTTGAAACAGTGTTATTAGTATAAATGGATCATTTCAGAGTGTCAAAATCAAGCTGCCCCTACTCTTATCCCCTCTAATTCCTTCTTTTAGGCTAAGGCCACAGAGATTTACCAATTTGAGGAAAAGGGCACTCATTTACATAGTATGTATGTGAGACAGTTTGGTGATATACTTTACTATACAGTCTTTTGGAACCCCTTCTTTGTGATAAGATTCCTTTTGATGTTTCAGGATGAACCTCAATTGGTAAATGGGATGAGTAGATTCAAACTTAACTGGGCATAGGTGAAAGTTCCCAACACAGACAGACCAAAGGAGGAAGCAAGTTACTTAGGATAAAAATCCCAGTCCAGCTTGAGGGGGAGTTTGCAAATAGGAAACCACATTGACTCTTTGTTTATTCCAGTTGGAGTTTAATTAGAGAACGACTAGCATCAGGTACAAATAAATCTCAGGCCTTACTACATTTTAACTCTACTAAAGCTGTTTACAATTAACCAATCCTTGGAGATTCTGCCATCCTATATGCTAATTTTTGGTAGATTATGCATCAACTATTATATAACATAATGAGGATCTTTGACCCAAAGCCCAATCTACTCTCTTTCCATAATGAGGAATTCAGACATTTTTTAAAACTTTTTTTTATTTTTCACTCATCATTTATTTACAAATACACATTATAACTTTTTATATACATTGCACATTTACATGGTAGAAAAGTACAAAACTATATATTTAAATGAATTTATATTTAACTTGCCATGTTTGAAAATATAAAATTGCATCAGAAGGAATTATGAAAAGCAAGAAACCTGAACTGATAAAGCTTTAATATACCTTTTAATGACATATTGTTTGAGAAAAGAACTAACTTAAAGGGTACAGCAGTCCAGCTGAAAGGAAACACCTAAAAAAAATAAGTATGTGTCTATTAATCTCCCCTCCACTGCCATGACACACCTACGTCCCTGTTAGTCATCTTTCTCACCCTAATTCTTTGGATCTGTGAATTTTCAAAGTCTAATAACATATCTGTTTCACTCTAGTACTGGTATCACCATACTATCTTGGGCAGAATGAGAGAGAACTGAAGTAGGAATTTCCTTTAAGATGGGACCACTGTACTCTACATTTGAGTCAAGTTATAATGCCTTTTGGTCAGTCAAGATTCCTTGTAAACAAAAACCCCAGGGATCATGTATGTACAGAACTGGCAGCAGAAAATCCAATAAATAAACATGGTAGAAACTGACATGCATGTTCATTAAAGTGGAAAGGGAATTAAACAGAAGTGAACCGAAAGGTGACCAGGTAAGTGAGTGGTAAGGAATGGATTAAAATGTTTTACAAGGAGAAAAAAAAAGCCATTTACTTTACAAGCAAGAGACCTCACAATAAATAACAACTGCTCTTCCTTTAACGAATAAATTTCTTCAAAAACAAGGTGTACAGTCAACCAGACATTTTATGTATAAATTATAAAACATGACACAGTATAAATAAATGTCTACAAGTCTCAACTAGGAGCCCAATCCAGTAGACCTCACACTGACAGCCTCTCCCATGTCAAGTCAGTGGAAAGGTTGCCTGGGAGAGGGCTGCAGGACAAAGGTCCTTTCCGTGTACTTTTCCCCTCAAAATAAATAAGCATACACTTATTTACAGTATGGACACTGATTTTTTTTTTTTTTTGCCCAAGGGCTATCCCAACACTGATGGAGGGTTTACCACTCTAGAATTGATGATATAGGAAAGCTGTAGTCCTGGTCTTCATCTTCCTCCTCCTCTTCCGTGTCTTCAGTAATGGCTAGATGGGGGAATACAGGGGAGCTGTTGTTTAAATAAGGACAACAACAGCGCAGAAGCAGCTCAGTGCACGCTTTCAAAGCCCTCTGAAACAGCCATAATACAGCGGTGCATTTTTATGTGACTTGCAGTGAGATGCTCTTTTGCATCTGCTGTTATGCAATAAGGGTTTTTTGTTTTGTTTTGTTTTGTTTTATTTTTGTTTTGTTTTGCTTTTAAAGACATAATCTATGAAGTCAAAAACTGCAGAAAGTTCTGAAGAATCAATGGCTCAGGTTTTATTGGAAGATTCCTGAAATCAGATAAAAAGTGCTCTTGTGTTCTAGGTTTAAATGCTTGGAGTCCTTAATTCAAAGTTAGTAGTGACTATCTGCAGAGGAACAGCTGCCCATAGGCCAACATATAGCTGTCTTTTTTTTTTATTTATGGAGTTAGGTTATGTCCAAGTGTTAATAAAGCAAACAGCAAAGCACACAGAACAAACAAATTAGAACAAAACAGCTTGAAAAATGTTCTTATAGGCAACCCCTAGCTGATGACATGATATTCTAAAAAATTTAAAAAAGTATCTCTATAACATTTCAGGAACTCCCTCTGGTGATTACTGAAGAGCTGGTACCATTTACTAATCATCTACTTCCTACAGCAAAATGTTTACATAGATCCTCCTTCCTTCCTTCCTTCCTTCCTTCCTTCCTTCCTTCCTTCCTTCCTTCCTTCCTTCCTTCCTTTTTCTTTCCTTCCTTCCCTCCCTCATTCCTTCCTTCCCTCTTTCATTCTTCCATCCTTCCCTTTCCCTTGCTTTCATCTTTCCCTCCTCCCTTCTTTCTTTCTTTCTCTTTCTTTCTCTTTCTTTCTTTCTTTCTTTCTTTCTTTCTTTCTTTCTTTCTTTCTTTCTTTCTTTCTTTCTTTCTTTCTTTCTTTCTTTCTTTCTTTCTTTCTTTCTTTCTTTCTTTCTTTCTTTCTTTCTTTCTCTCTTTCTTTCTTTCTTTCTTTCTTTCTTTCTTTCTTTCTTTCTTTCTTTCTTTCTTTCTTTCTTTCTTTCTTTCTTTCTTTCTTTCTTTCTTTCTTTCTTTCTTTCTTTCTTTCTTTCTTCCTTCCTTCTCCCTAAGACTTTGTTACCTAAGGATTGCCTTTAAAGCCTTAAAGTGCTATAAGGTTAAAAGGAACACTTACAATTGCAAGATCCTGAATGCTTTACTTCCAAGACCACACCTGTGGAGCAGGCAGCCTCCTTCATGGCACACTCACTGGCATAAGTGGCATTGTCGCTAGCACAGACAGCCTCATCAGATTTACTTTCAGGACACAACTCATCACAGAGTGAACACCGGCCTCTGCCAACTTTGGAGTCCCATAAACATTTCTTTCCACCACTACAATGGATATCTTCACAGGACTTTGCCTCTAAAATATAATATTTCTGTGATGAGTAAAGTCATATCTTTGTTTCTTTCATTCCTTACTTCTTTTCCCTCCTTCTTGCCTTCTCCACCCCTCCCCAGCATTTCCCTTTCGAAACACAGACACAGATGCAGACACGGACACAGACACAGACACACAGACACACACACACACACACACACACAAACACACACACAGACACACACTTTTTTCATAATCTATTTCTCACTGCCAGGGCAGTTTCCCTCAAGTTAGGCACTTATCTCTTTTATCCTAAGATTAGAAATTAACTTGGAGCTTCAAATTATATATTTTGCTCATAAGACATTTTAAAATATTTGGAAAAAAGGATGCTAAATGCTAATTTTTAAAGCACAAAGTCACAGAAGTCACAGTAAGGGTCTTATATAATAGTGCATGAAAGGAAATTTTATTCAGAATCTTGGGAGACATTTTATTTTAGCAAAGATCAATGGGCTCCCAAAGTTCAAGACAGAAAAGGGATTAAAAAAAAAAGACAAGACCATCCAGTAAAGTAATGATATTACATAGTTCCAATTAGTTTAGGAACCAGTGACCTATTTATTTCTTCTCTGTAGTACAACAATTTCCCTTTAAATCAACAAATTGAGTAAGTCCTGAGCTGGGGAGGGAAAGATGGAAAATCAATTGGTTCATACTCTTACTGTCATTTGTACATGTTTACCAACACTTCCTGAAGACAGCTGTTTCCATGAAGCAAGCTGTAGCCAGTTCATCAAAAATGGAAAACATCTCTCTACCAGTGGAAGTGACTTGCTCAGGAGAGCTTTTGATTTGTTAGTTTGTTGACAACCAGGCAATCAAACTGTAACTAGCTACTCATAATCTCTACCCACCCCACCCCCCTCTTCCCCAAATCAGAATACCTACTGATACATTTTCCCTCGTAGGCTAATCCAATTGATTTGCCCAGCAGGCAGGTAGCCTTTCTCAGGTGACAAGCACTAGGATAAGTTATTCCATCATTCCCACAGAGATACTGCTCAGAGGAGGTAGGCTCTGGACAAACCCGATTACATGTCACACAGTAGGCATTATTGCTTTGATCCACCACACACGTGGAACTGCCTGGACATAAAACATCTCTACAGGTCTCTGAAATAAAGACAGAAACACACAAACATTAATAGGCATAGCCTGGCCCTTAGGGAGGGAACTTCTAATATTATCACTGAAACCCTGAAACAAGCCTCCATCTTTTCAAAAGATACTTGGGGAATTTTTTCAGGACAAAGTCCACTGACTCTAATTGGGCTCTTGACTGTTTAAAATTAATATTTAGTAGCCCAAAATGGTTTTATTTGGGGTTCCTTACTGTTGAAGACAACATGGCCCCACACGGCTGGTCGCAGCTCACATTTATGTAGCCATTTAAGTTTTGGAAAGCCCCATGCACACATTAGCTCATTTGATCCACACAACAATTCTTTAAGGATCTCCCCATTTTAAAGATGATAATAGAGTTGTCAGCTCTTAACTACTACAAATTTTACTTCTGCTTAAAAGATGATTAGAGGAGGAGGATGCTTGTTTCAAGAACTCCAAACCTACTTTTACATTTGCCTTGATATTGGACTTCTAGTTCTGGCTGCTCTTTACATCTGGCTTTGAGGAGAGCGCATTCGTTTTTGTAGGTTTTGCCATCTAGTCCACAGACTGGGCCCTTCCAAGTGATATTGGAGCAATCCGGAGAGCAGACACACCGAGGTTTGTTCTTCTTGTTCATTTTGCATTTCTTTCCAGGTCCACAGTCCACGTTATCACACGTTTCTAGGAGTTGGAAAGAGGTATCATTTATAGAAGGGCTAGTCTCCAGGTCAGCCACGAGGATCATTTGTGCCCTACACAATTGTACAACCTGGAGCTACCGAGCAGAGAAACTAATCCTTCAGGAGGAAAAGGGTTTTTAGGGGCAAGTGAAGGTGCTGTCCAGATCAGTAATCCATCCAAAATATTCGACAGAGGGTTCTGCTGTTGACTTCTCTACTCACATAGGACTAAGAAGCATAAGGACCTTTGTAGATCGGTTCTTTGTCAGAAGTCTCCAAAAGGCGCGTTTCAAACACGCTATGATCTCAAGGGTGCCAGAGAAACCCCTTAAACTAAATCCACAGACAAAAGACACCCAATCCAGCCCCACTCTTCCCAACACCAAGAATGCCTAATTTTGCCTCCTAGGACAGGAAAGAAGCTGCCAGTGGAACGCCCTCTATTGAATGGCCTGAAAGTTTAAATGAGTAGCTCTACCTTTGCAAGGGATGCAGTTCGGGGCGCCCCCGTTAAAAATCATCCACTTGAAAAGCGTGCTGTCATTCACGTCTTCTGCTGTCCACGAAGTGCTAAGCCTCCCCGAGCTGCAACACTCTTCTTTGCTGAGACCAGTTTTGTACAAGACCTGGCAACGACCGTTCTTTGCCTGCCGGAGCCAGCAATTCCCAGCTGTAACAGAGAAAGGGGGTGGAGTGGGTGGGGATAGAGGGAGGGAGACAGAGAGACAACGGGAGGGAGGGGAGACCGAGAGAAGGGGGAGCGGAGAGAGGAGGAGGAGGTGGAGGAGGGAGAAGAGAGAGGGAGGTAGGGAGTGAGAGGGAGGGGAAGAGAGGGAGAGAGGAGAGGGAGAGAGAGAAGGAGAGGGAGAAAGGGAGAGAGGGAGAGAGAGAAATTGGGAAAAGAGAGAGAGAATTGGGAAAAGAGAGAGAGAATTGGGAGAGAGAGAAGTGAAAAGGGAGAGGGAGAGAAGAGAGAGCATTCCAGCCGTATCAGTGTCAGTTACCAGTGACCCAGACACAACACGTGCAGCTTTCATTGACTTTTACTAGACTGTTTACTTTTATTCGTCCCATTTCATAACCTGCAGCAACTCGAAGAGCAGCTTAAATAACCTGACAAAAACAGGATGCGACGGATGTTTTTACATGTTGGTTTCATGTAGGGGGTGTGGGTATTATTTGTGACAGGGGTTAGGAAAGTAGGAACTTAAAAAGACACAGACACAGACACAGACACACACACACACACACACACACACACAAAACCGAGCAAAAGGCACTTAAAAAATGAAAGAAAAAAAAAAACCCACAAAACAACTTCTGCATGACCAGAGTCTGCCTTGCTGCTGCTGCTGCTGCTGCCTTGCTGCTGCGGCTGCTGCTGTTACCGCTGCCGCTGCTGAGGCTGCTGCTGCTGCATAGAATTGCAGTCCAACAGCCCATTTTGCAATCTTTAAGAATTGGGAGAAGCTTTCTCGCCTGCCCCAGTAGTCATTTCGAAATCCCTGAAGTCTGCTGCTTCTAGTGCCCCCAACTTGTGCTAAACGAATTTGCTAGTTATCTCAAGAAGGGCGGACAAATTGTATGTAACTCCAGCAGAAAGCTAGGAGGCAATGTCAAAAGGCATTTAAAAAGTTTAAAATAACAGTGATATGGCTGCTAAAGCTACAGGTTAACGTGCCATCTTCTGGAAAGCAAGATGAAATATGTGCTGTGCTGCTTAAACCAGAAAGAGTTTTTGTAAGGTTTTAAAAAAAAATTTTTTTATTTTAAATTTTAGTGCTGAAAGTTTCGATGTCCTAAATTGGCCCAAGCCAAAAACCTTGTTCAAGCAACTCTTGGGTTTATAATGCAGGGATTTTGGTAGGATGAATCTACCATGAATCATCGATGTGATTTTTTCCCAGCAACTCAATCAATACCAATTGATTCTAGTAATTGGTCTGTAGGCTATTGTACTAAAAAAAAGTTCCTCAAACAATAAGTTAAGCAAATAGCCTTCTTCTGAAAAGTCTCCTTCAAGGTCTTAGTCACTTAGTCTACCTATATCAGAATTTTAATCAGTTTGTGAGCTCCTCATGTTATCCATTGAAAATTACAGTGGCTTCGGAAGGACATTTTTAAAAAAAATGTTATCTTGTATACCACTTAGATTAGTGTTTGGAATAAATTTGGGGAGAGGAAAGGAAGGATTCACAGAGCAGAAAGCTATTTTCCACCTAAAAACTTCCTCTCCCAATATTAGCTTTGTGCCAGGTTTCTGGAACCACGTTTCCCAGACACAGGGGTAAATTCAGTGTCCCCCAAAGTCATATAATATAGTTATCCAGGAAAGCGGTAAAAAATAATATACATATAATACACATGATTAGTTTGTAAAAAGGGTCGCCTGTAATCTTCAGGATACTGATACTTCCCCCCTACCTCTCCCCCCACCCCAGCCAGAGGCGATAACATCTCTAAACTAATTACAGCAGGAACTTTGAGCATCCAGTCCTAACTGCTGAACTATTGCTCATTCACTCTTTATGTTGTTAATAATAACTCGAGCAATAAATACAGCTTCCAGTCCAGAATGTCACTTCCTTAAGTTTTCCTATTCCTGTACATTCCGGAGCAGTTAACTTGGTACAACGAACCATCTTCAAAGAGAGGCGTTAAGCAGACCAGAACAGCCCAGAACAGATTACGGGTAGACAGAAAAGTACGAGACAAATCAGTCCGACAAACAAAACCTTAGCCTACTTACCCTGGACTGTGCGATCTTCCATGAACTGGCACAGCAGGATCAGGAGTAAAAGCATGCCCGGCTGGTTTCTCTGATTTAACATCCTCAGGATACGAGTGACTGAGTGAGTATGTGTGAGCGTGTGTGAGAGAGCAAGAGAGCGACAATATCAAGTGGAGGAGAGAGCACCACTAGTCAGACTGCTCTATTCAATGAACGTCAGAATCTGAGTGCAGTCTCTCTTTAAATCTATATGGGGGTCTTAGCTGTTTGCGGTGGGCGGTCTCCTAGTGTGTGTGTATGTGTGTGTGTATGTGTGTGTATGTGTGCGCGCGTGTGTATGTGTGTGTGTATGTGTGTGTGTGTGTGTGTGTGTGTGTGTGAGTGTTTGGGGGTGGGGAGATTTTCAAAAGTTCAGTGTGAATCAGGTGACATTTTCCACCTTCCCAATTATCTGTTTTAGGTGCATACGCTGCCTGAAATCAAATCTGGACGCGGGGGAATCGTTGGAGTTCTTGTTTGCGTAGTAGCAAAGGGGGAGGGTGAAACTAGACTGGGAGGGGGGGGGGGGAGGGGGGTTGGGGGGGGGGGGGGGTGGGGAAGAACACCCACTTAAAGTCATGAATACCGGCCACACTTTTGAATGCAACCCCTAAGAACCAACAGCCGCCGCCGGCTCCTTTGGCTGGAGATGTGGGGGGTGGGGCGGCGGTGACGGGGGGGGGGGGGGGGGGAATGGAGGGGAAACGTGAGTTTGTCTTCTCCAGGCGTTCTTTCAGTTCTGAAAGACTTTTTTTTTTTTTTTTAAACCCCAACATAACACACCAGGCTGCTGAAATATCTAGCTCCGGGTCAGCTCTAAACGTGCATTTATTGCTTATGTTCTGCCGCTCTTGAAATTCATGTAATCTCAGCAAAGAGAGAGAAGGTCCGTGCCTCTCCGTCTGTCTGTCTGTCTCCCTATCCGTCAGTCCATCTGTCTGCTTGTCTGTCCCTTTGTCCATCTGTCCGTCTTTCTGTCTGTGTGCTGTGTACGTGTGTGTCGTCTTTTCCTTTTAATGACATTCTCACTCTGGTCGGTGCTAATAATAAATCTAATCCTTAGCACCTTCGAAAACTAGTTAAGGAGGTGGCACAGACACATCTCCCTCTGTACTGCCAGTCGGAAACAAACACACAACAAAAGTTTAATACCTAGGGCTTGGCCTTTACTCAAGTCAAAATCTCTCTCTCTCTCTCTCTCTCTCTCTGTGTCTGTCTCTCTCTCTCTCCCTTTCCCTTTCCTTTTACTTTACAGCGTCTGGAACCTTAGCCTGGAAAAGGGGACGATGTAGGCGGTCTCGCACTCCTCCCCGATCATTCTCTCTCAGACTCTATCCTTGTCTCTCTCTGTTCTGTCTCTGTCTCTCCTTCCTTCCTTCCTTCCTTCCTTCCTTCCTTCCTTCCTTCCTTCCTTCTTCTTCTTCTTCTTCTTCTTCTTCTTCTTCTTCTTCTTCTTCTTCTTCTTCTTCTTCTTCTTCTTTTCT